CTTGCTCCCGCTTGGGGCCTTGCTCCCGCTTGGGGTCTTGCTCCCGCTTGGGGCCTTGCTCCCCCTTGGGGTCTTGCCCCCGCTTGGGCCTTGTTCCCGCTTGGGCCTTGCTCCCACTTGGGGCCTTGCTCTGGCCTGGGGCCTTGCTCCTGCTTGGGCCTTGCTCCCAGTGCCTCTGTCACCTGTGGTGCTCTCCCCCCAGGCGCTCTGTTACAGAAAGCACCACTTTTTTTAAGAGCCATTATAGTATTTCAGATGCAGAAATGATTTTCTAACAGATCTTTGTGGCTGCTGTATTGAAAAAGACACCAACAGGGCAGAGCAGCTAAGGTAAAAGTTGGGGACTATCTGTAGTAATCCAGGTGAAAAATAATCCTGGCTTAGACTAAGATGATAGCAGTGGAAATAATAAGTAGTTAGGCTATAGAGCAGTATGTGTATATAAATAATATATGAGTTAAAATCCAAAGACAGGGAGAAATCTATAATGAATTCCCATGTTTTTACTAAGTACCCGTGAACTTATCAACTGTTCTTATGTGTCTGGCTCTTTTCAACAGCTGGGACAGTTGTCAGTTTGGGACCAGCTGTGTTCCATGTATAGCCCTTTGCACTTGTCCCCCAACTTAAAGATTGGAGCAAGAGCAGTCTGAAGCAAATCCCAGATACTACATTTCATATGTAAGTCATTCAGCTTGTACCGCTGCAGTTGCTTCTAATTGTGTCTCTATTCTGCTCTTTCCTTTATGGCTTCAGTTTTGTAGTTTCATATATTCACTTCTGCCTGCCCTCCTGACCCTCCTTAAACTCTTTTCCGTTCTACCAACTTCTCGCTATACATTTTTCAAATCCAAACTTTAGGGCTGGGGATCTAGCTCAGTGGCACAGGTGCCTCCCTGTCAATTTCAAGGTCCCTAGTTCAATTCCCAGTACCAAAACAACCTCCCAAATAAATAAATGAACAAATCAAATTCAAACTCTATAAAAAGAGGTTCTTTGGGTTCAGTTAGCAGCTGTCATTCCTTGGCATAGGGCTTGTAAAATGGCCAAACTGTGGGAGATCGGCTGTTCTGGGGTCAGGCACAGTGTGGTGTAATGACAGGGTCATTTGTCCTGAAAAGAGATTATTGGAATGACCATCATTTAGCAGGTAAGAAGTCACTCTTCAATACTAATAAATAGTGAAAATTTAATGCCAGAAAAGACACAAGTTATGAAAAAAGAAAGCTCATGGTGAGGCTAGAATAGAAAATTGTCTAGCCATTGAGCTGCCCTTATTTTATAGTTCAACTGGATTCATTTGGATTATTATTCTTGGGTATCAGTAAGGAATTAAAGGATTTTTTAAATGTATTTAGTACAGGTTCTCACTGCACAGATTGAATTCATAGTGATCCTCCTGTTTTCAGCCTCCCAAGAGCTGGGATTACAGGTGGGTGCCACTATGCCCAGTCTCTCAATTGCTGTCTCAGCTCACCCCTGGAGGGCGGGGCCTGCAGAGCACTCCAGGAATTGAACCCCACTCTCTGTGTTTGCCTAAACAGGTGCTTTAATCCGCTGAGCTATCTGGCCGGCCCTAAGGAATTTTT